GGGGGGGGGGGGGGGGCGGTGTTTTTCGAGCCGGACACTCCCTTGCCGATTGCTGCTGGGGGCGCGCTAGACTTGCGAGGTACAGGAGGGGGTGAATACCGACATATTTTGCCGTCCTCCATATGCTGATGTACTGTAGGGCGTCTAGAATACGTTTATGCTAGATGGGATGGACAGGAAAACCAAGACGACAAGGACGATCAAGCGGTACAGTATTAGTAGTATTCCAACTTGCGGGTTCGAAGCGATAATCGTTTGGCGATGCTTCGTGGACAGACAGTTTCGTCTAGGCGTTGTGTTTGTGTTGTGTGCGGGATTCCGGGACAGTGCCTTTCGACAAACGGCTCGATCAGTACTCTACACTGCCTGGATTCCATCGCTCCTGCCCCTCCCTATGTTTTGCGTGCAACAAGCCCCAGACAGAGAGCTTGATTCCTCTTGCACTTGTCCTAAGGTACGCATCATAGTTCACTAGGCTCCCGTGTTCGATGTATGCGTTCCTTTGTTTGTCATGTTGTCTCTGTTAAGGTCGCTTGGGTCGAATCGGACGTGCCCTTCGACAAGCGGTTTGACTCCTACCTCGAACCCAAGTTCTTCAAGCACAGGATCCACTGGTTCTCCATCATCAACTCGTTCATGATGGTCGTGTTCCTGTGCGGCCTGGTCGCTCTCATCCTTGTCAAGACGCTCAAGAACGATTTCGCCAAGGTGAGGCTCTACTCTACTACTACCACTTTTATTGCATGCATTGCCCCTTGATGTCCTCTCATGAGCCCGCTCCGGAGGGATCACTCGTACTGCTGTACCATTCTACGGAGATACCATACAGATCCCGCCGCACATATGTAGCGTCGCGAGGCCAACGTTTTCCTTCCCCGCGCTTTGCTGCGCCTTCATCAGCCTCTTGTAAGGGCGGTACCGGGCTGTAGTCAGCGTATGTAGCAACAGACGGTATTCTCGTGAGCGGTTTGATCCAGGTAAGGCCTGTGGTTGTGTCTGAGACTTTCGTCTGTTACGGTTTATAGTGCATGTCAAGGTTACGTAACGTTTGGTGAGAAGTTTTACCGAAGATGATTGCCCGAGCGGTTAAGAGACAGCGTTCACGTTGCCAAGGACGGGGCGTGAAGTCGGGTCACGGGCAAGTCGAGTGACGGGCTATGTCATCTTGTAGGGTTGAGTCTTGGTCGCATTTTCAGCGAAGTGTACCAAGCCAACGGAGGGAGCTTGGGTGCCTTCCGCGTTTTGGAGGCGTTTTTCGGTGGTTCTCGAGAGTACCGTAGGTTGCATTAGGTACCACTCCCCTGGAAAGGTTTTCAAAGGTCGATTTCTCCACGACCAAGAGGATGCCGAAGGCAAACGATGCGTGTTCGGAAACCTCTCGACGGGGCGGTTCCAACTCCGACATTTTGGGCAACGTCGCTTCTTTCCTTGCCGATTAATCAAGCGTTGAAAATCGCCCTAGGGGGTGTGATATCTCTTACAACCTACGGTATGAGAACAACTAAATCCTGCCTCAACGCTTCCCTCGTTCCCGTGCAGTACACTCCTGATGACGACGATTTGGAGGGGCCTGACGCCGGTGTCGGGGAAGATAGCGGCTGGAAGCAGGTGGGACAGCAGACAATCGATTGCTCTTCGGTTTGGGGGTGATGCTCCCTGCCCCGAAAGGAACGTCATGCGGGTGTCTTTTCTTCCTGTTTGCTGGTTGGCTGGCTGGGAAGGAGTCACCCATTTCATTCCAGCATGATGACTTTGAGTGTGACACGAACCCTTTCAGGCCAGGCATCAGTCCTTGTCTTCCCTGCACTTCAATAGCTTCCCAATGTTTGGATGACGTACCACGACTACGGCATGCACAGCTATGAGTGCACCCCCTGCCCTCCCTGCCCGAAACAATCATGTTGTGGAGCATGTGCATTTTTCAATGACGGAACCCCCCCCTCCCCCCCCCCCCCCCCCCCCCCCCCCCCCCCCCCCCCCCCCCCCCCCCCCCCCCCNACTTTGCCGGGCACTGCTGTAAAAAAAAAAAGGTTCACGGGGACGTGTTCCGGGCGCCCAAACACCTCATGCTCTTCAGCGCTCTGTTCGGGACGGGGTGCCAGCTCGCGGTGCTGGTGCTGCTGGTGATCCTGTTCGCAATCGCGGGGCCCCTCCACGGCGACGTGTACGAGGAGCGCGGGGAGATGGTCACCACCTTCATCGTCTGCTACGCACTCACGTCCCTTGTCTCAGGGTGAGAGGGGTGTGGCGATGGAGGGGGGGGGGGGGGGGGGGGG